TGCTACAGGCGTAAGGCCAACATTAGACAAAGTGTAAGAGTTTTCTTGCAATTTTCTTTTTGTACTGACAACAACAAAGTTCCCAATACTAGGAGCCAAGGACTTCTATTTAGTTGCCATGGTAACAAAAAAGGTCTCATATTGAAGTTAAAAATTCTGGTATCATGACAACCCCTGAGCGTGACCTCTTACTGTAAAGTGTCTCTAAACGATGTGTGTGTGTGTGTGTGTGTGTGTGTGTGAACGAGTCCTTGGTTTCTGTCTAAGTGGAAACAAAAAGGTCTCTGTGCAGCAAACTGTGTTAATTTAATTGCTTTTCTTTTGAAAGAATTCAAAAACCTCCTGTGGTCAACTGAAGCGGATTCAGTAATGAAATGAACGCAGTATTGGTTTGTAGTTTTGTTCAGATTTTTCTACACAGTTGAGGAGCTGATTTTTTTTCTCATCGACAGTAAAACCATCAGGAGCTTCTTTCAGCTTTGAGAAGACGACGAGACCTTGTTTAAGTAACATAAATAATCGTGTTGACACAAAAAATGTGACCCAGGTTATGACTTTCTCACAATATTTGCACGAAGTGTCGAGAACAAATTTACAGAACGTGACACAAACAAACACACAGATGGACAAATAGAAGAAAATATTGATGTCATGAGCCGATTTCACATATTCACTCCTGACAATTTCTAGAGAATTTCAGGACTTCTGCTTTTTATCAATGCTACGTGTAGTTGAACAGACTCTCAATGTGAACTAAAGAGTGGAGAAGAACATCCTGGAGAACAGGAAACATAATGCAGCAGGTTCATTAGAGCACGGAGATGGTAGAGGCGGCGTGCAGACAGTCTATGGTCGTGCAGCGATCACAGGGAATAAACGTCACCACCCCCTCCCACTCGCTCCAGCTGAATTCTCCTGATTATATCCTGCTGCGTTCTCACATCAGCTCACTCTGACTTTCTGCAGAATAAATACCAGGGGTCTGGTAGGAGAAACTCTGGGTCAATTCAGGTTTTCCACACATGCAGCTCACCCCTACATGAAGTCCACCTTGTTTCTGTCAGTGCCTAAAGGCCTCATCACTCCTGAATCCAAAACAATCATTAAAACAAGTGCTGCTTTGTTTTTCTCTAACCACATTGTCCCTGATCTGTTCCCCTCTTTTAGACTGAAAGCAAGAAAACTTGGAAACACATATAAACACCAATGAATGTGAGGGCAGCTGATAACTAGTTAGGGCTTCACGTTTTGTGCAGGTGTGAACGAGATGATAGTCAGGCTGGAGCTGAACAGAACATTACACAGCACAGACGAGCTTACAAGGTTTTTTTTTATACAAACACAAAAAGGGACAAGAAAGCCATAAATAAAATGGGAATTTAAAAAACAAATAAATATTAATGATAATGAAATTATATCCATGTGGTGGATATCCTCCTCCACAAACTGACCCAGCTCACAGTGCCGGCCTCCACCTGTCAGTGGAACTTCCTGACTGACAGGAAGCAGCAGGTGAGACTGGGGAGCATCACATCCAGCACCCGGACAATCAGCACTGGCGTCCCCCAGGGAAGTGTCCTCTACCCACTGCTCTTCTCCCTCTACACCAACGACTGCACCTCAAGCTCTGGAAGTTTGCAGACGACATCAACGTGATCGGTCTCATCGGGGGACGGTGTTCATATGTGTCACCAGCAATATTTTCTTCTATTTGTCCATCTGTGTGTTCGTTTGTGTCACGTTCTGGGTGTTTAATCAAATTTACATTTTTGGCTTTTCAGCATCATGAAGACAAGATAATCGAGATTAAACGATTTACCGTGCTGCAATGTTGCGCGCGTTTTAATTTGAGGTTTTGTCTAATGGTAAATGTTTCAAAGTGTTTGTTTGTATTATGGTCACAAGAGTACATCACCACAACCTCAAAAACACAGCGAGTTTATTTTTATTTCTTTATAACGAGTATATCTAATTATTTTTTTCTTAGTCATACTTTCCTTTATTTTTTGATAAAAACATTTGATGCAGATGTTGTAAGATCAATGAGTTATTGTGTTTAATAACCTCCATCTCAACATCAATCAGAATAATTGTGATAAAGATTTTTGCCATAATCGAGCAGCCCTGGATGATGATGAGTCTTGGAACAGCGGGCCCTCTGGTGCAGTCCGAACCATCCGGAGCTGAACCCGCTCAAGACCGTGGAAATGACAGTGGGCTTTAGGAGAAGCCCCCCCTACACTCCCCCTGTCTTCATCGTCACTGTCAGGTTCCTCGGATCCACAATCTCCCAGGACCTGAAGTGGTCTTCCCACATAACCACTATCAGTGTTGACTCAGCAGAGGATGAACTTCCTGCGTCAGCTCAGGAAGTTCAACTCACTTTATCAAGTAAATATCATCCTCCTCATCTGACATTAACCTATGCACCCTGCCTTGATGTAAATACTGTAAAAAACAACAATCTAGCTTTTGTAAATGACTATCTGAACTCTTAGACGGAGCTCCCTGAAACCTTCAGCGAGGAGATCGGGCACGACTACCACCTGAGGTTCCTGACGCCCAGCAACCACCACCGTCCTCATTCATGCACGGCCTGCTCCGACCTCCACCTCCGCGTCAAGGAAGTGTGGACAACAGGAAGTACATCAGGACCACAAAGGAGAAATCCTTCCTGCATCTTATCCCATCTCCCCGACCCCATTTTTCTTTTGTTACATAACAGTGAGTGAGGTATTTAACCTGCTTTTTGTGAAACGTCTTGAGATAACCCTTTTCAGAAATTGACGCTATACAAATAAAGATTGATTGATTGATCAGTTACATATTTACAAAATGTATTATCATGTTCATTTCAGTATCTTTTACACTCACCACTGCACTGTTTGTCTTATTCAGTTGTGTGTAAGTCTTTGTTTATTGCACATGAAGAGCCCAGTTTACCGAAGTCAAATTCCTTGTATGTGTGAGCACACCTGGCCAATAAAGCCGATTCTGGTTCTATCTGAACTGCTGTTAGGGGCTCTGATTAAGTGAAAGACTAGAAAGGCACTCATGGAGGTATTTTTTTAAATCTTATATATGTTTCAAATAGTCTTGAAAAAATACTATTTAAAGAAAGATTTCAATGGTGGGGTAACTTTTAAGGATTTAATTTGTGTAAAAAAAAAATTACTTAATGGCAAGATACAAGTTATTGAATAAAAAACTTTAACTTTCTGTCCTCCATCACAAAACCAACTCTAGTTTGGCATCGTCACATTATTAGCCCAAATCCAGCTTTGACATTCCTCCCAAAATAAACTACAAATATTTCTGCTCTGTTGCAGCGGTCAACTTCTACAGAGTGCAAGGAATGCAAAATCTAAAGCGGGGTAAACCCTACAAGATAATCTGATAAAAGCAGATTATCTGATGGTTACAGAGATGATTTTACGGATGTTCCCGTGGTGTGAAGGGTGTTAAGAGTGATTCTAACGCGCCACGATCCGCTCCCGAAGACGATTGGGGCCGCCCCGAATTAAAATCTTAAATATTACACGTTCTGTTTTACGATCAGGCGTCCTGTTGTGTGGGGGCACCGGTGGACTAGTGGTTGGTGCGTTCGCCTCATGTACGTCAGCTGTGGTTCTCCGGGCGGGCGGCCCAGGTTCGGCTCCGGCCTGTGGCTCCTTTCCCGCATGTCTCTCTCTCTCTCTCTCTCTCTCTCTCTCTCTCTCTGGTTTCTGACTCTATCCACTGTCCTGTCTCTCCAATAAAAGGCATAAAAAAGAAAAAAAGAAAACCTGTCGTGCGAGAAGAACACAGAGGACGACCGATTGTCACATGGAACAGAACTACAACCAATCAGGAAGCAAGCTGACTGAAGCAGGAAACACAACACACAGCCATGGCAACGACAGCAAACGCGGCGCATAAAGTTTGATGTCCGTCAGAAATGGAGGACCAGCTTGTTGATTTGTGTTTATAGAGTTTATACAACACGTCCTGTAAAACGGTCAAACGGTTTTGTTTACTACAAAGTCTCGTCCTCCCTCGACCTTTCCCAAATTATTCAAAATGACGCTGAAAGATTGTCAACAAGGTCCAGCACATCCACCATATTACACCTGTTTCTCTGCATTGCTCCATCCCTACATCCCCAGTAGACCCCCCCCCCCAGGTCTTCTGACCAGGGCCGGCTTGTTGTCGTACTAATCTGTGGCTCGGACACTTCTTTGGGACTCTCTCTCTCTCTCTCTCTCTCTCTCTCTCTCTCTCTCTCTCTCTCTCTCTCTCTCTCTCTCTCTCTCTCTCTCCACACCGGTCTGCAGCTCTGATTGATGTTTTTAATCTTCATCTTTAATCAGGATATCATTATGGGATGTAATGTCTGTGCGAGTGTTGTTTTCCTGCGCTCGGCGACCCATCTTTGATTTTAATGTTGTTATTACGGTCATGTACAAATGTTGTGAAGCACTTTGCGACCTCGCTCTGTGAAAAGAGCTACACCCAAATTATTAACATGTACGTTTAGTTTATTTGTACAAAAAAACACACAAAAAGTAAGAAACTTTAATCTGCTTAACCCCCCCCCACACACACACACACACACACACCGTATCTGGAGTTATTCCGATTTTCCAGCCTACCCTGAATGCATCACGCACACCTGTGTGACTGTCACCTGACGCGCGAGCAGCTCAACACACCTATTCTGCGCAGAAATGACCCTCCTCGGCTCATGTAGCCGTCGCGTTGAAGGCCACCGTTAAGTATCGTTGAATTCAGCGTTAAAACGGCGGATTTGTTGTGAGTGTTGACAAAACGCGGTGAAATAAAAGAGGAGGTCCCACGCAGACGAACCAAACCTCATTCATTAATTAACACTTTTAGAGGTCTGCGCCCCTCACTCTAAGTTTACATCTGCTGTCAGCTGGAGGCATCACGCCCTGCCTGCCTCTTCTCCCATCGGCCTCCCTTCATCACCTCCTCCTCCTCCTTCTCCTCCTCCTCCTCACCTCCTGTGTGGCGGCCGGCTTCGGGTGCAGGTTCTCCCCGTCCTTCAGCTCGTTGATGTCGGCGGGCTGCGGTGGAGGGTCCCGGGCTGTGTCCGCCATGTTCGCGTCGTCCCTGCGGTTGTTGATGGTGATGATGATAGCTAGCGGCTAGCTAACAGACACACACGCACACACACACCACGCACACACACGCCGACAGACAGAGAAAACAGTCGACTGACAGGCCGAGGGGAGGAGGAGGAGGAGGAGGAGGAGGAGGAGAGGGGGAGCGGGGAGTCAGGAGGTTTTCCCAGCTCTGTCATGTGACGAGCAGGAGTCCTGATGGGAGCCAGAGAGGCGGCGAAAGAGAGGAGGTCTCACTCTGTGTAAAACTTAAAACGTTTCCACTTTCAGAGTTAGCTCAGAGGCGCTGCTTGTCAACACTCAACAGGCATGGCAGGCAACTGCTTGGGGCCCCAGACCAATAGGGGGGGCCCCCTGAGGGCTCACAAACTTAAACCAAAGCAGTAGCCCCAAAAGTGAAAATTCTGCAAACATCCTTAAGCAGCCCCATCTGACGGGACTCACTGTTGTTGCTCTGCTAAGCGTTGAATGCATTATAGCAGTGAAATCAAATTAAGTAAAAAAAAAAAAGAAAAATGAAGAGGAATTATCTGTCTATTGGAGAGAAAAATGAAAAAGGAAAGCATTGGGACGCTGGTTGGAGGGCACCCCAATTGATTTTTGCCCCACCAGACTCCAGAATCACCACTGAGTCAGCTAATGTGGACATTTAGCCTTCAAGCGACTTAATCGTTTCATAAATTCACCCAAAAAAAACTTAAAGTTGCACTATGTATGCTAGTTTAGGTAGAGAAATATGAAAGTTAGAGAATTGTACAGATTCTGTATACGTCCATAACTCTATACACGAACTGTCCTCAGAGGAAAATGTGTTCCCTGTACACTAATTTATGTTTATTTATTCATTTGTTAGGGACAGTGCATATTAATGAACAGCTGTAAAAATGCCAGATTATAGCAGAAGTGCTAGTTTCCATCTGTTGTCCCTAGGCAGGTAACAGAGAAATACAAATTACAAATAAAATACAAATACAAAGGCACAAGTGACACAAGACAATAATAGAGGTTAAAGGTTCAAAGTGGTCACAGACTTGGTTTTCTTTTATCCACTGTTTGAGGTGTGTTTTGAAGGTTGCATATGTTTGTGAGTCTCTTATTGTGAGTGGGAGAATATTCCAATATTAGTTCCTTTGACTGACAGAACAGTTTGTCTGAATGTAGTGCGTCTGTGTGGGACCTCACAGTCTCCTCGGGCTGTGGCCCCTGGTGCCGATCCCACTGGCAGACTTCAGCTTTATAAAGTCCTTCAAAGGAGGAGGAGCAAGTCCGTGCAAAATGTTATATATAAAATGTGTTACCTCTCTAAGAGAAAGTAGTGAAAAAACATTCAACCTAAATATTAAATAAAGTGAGTTTGTATAATTATACAGAAGCCATAAGGGCCCAATCACAGAGAGACTCCAAAAATGCTTGACCACATCTGTGGAAAGAACAGCTGGGCGCGCCTGTGGAGCGGGGCTGTGTGTGCATACGGGCGACCGAATAAAACAAGTGGGGAGGAAATGGACTCAGGAAAACATAGAGCTTTGCTCCTAGACGAGGAGGGGGCAGAGGTCCTGCCGTGTTCTTACAGCAACGCGTGGGCTGGGAGGAGAAACATCCCATCTGAAAAAAAACATGACTACACTGATGTCGGAGGAATTACTTTCCAACTCGAACAAAAACCATCCGAGGAGCACATGACTGCAGCAAAAGTCAGTGTTTGCTTTTGACACATGCATCTCTCCCAAAGACTGTAAATATTTTGATCTCACCTCGAAAACTTCACAAGTTTTGTGCGAGTGTGAAAGCAGCTGCGAGTTTTCTACGCTTTCTAAAGGATTTGTGTAAATTTGTCTTTTTTATTATTCATCTTTAAATGTAATATAAAGTTGATTTGCGTGTATTACAATATATTTTGTAACTGATGTAATTAATAAAGTTTTAAAGAAAAAAAAAACGAGTTTCCGCTATAGACGATCTTTGCGGGATGCTTTTTTCTGATCGTTTCCGTGTCGTTAGCGAATCAGTGTCGGGTAACTGTGAAACCATGCTGTACACAGGAGTTCAACAAACTCTGAAATAGCTCAAATATTACATCCAAAATACACGTGTAAGGTTGGAGTTCCCGCCGCCATAGCTGGCTATCTGTTCAGCTAACATTTTGAGTTTACATCGGCTCTTCCGGGTGAGAAAAACAAAAGATAGTCTTTCTGTTCGTAGCTGTGTTAGCATGGAGGCTAACGGGGTGACGGCTAGCTTTGCATCAGAAGAGCACCGAGTCCAAAATCTGACCCAAGAGGAGGAAGACCTGAAGCTGGCGTTAGCGAACATGACAGTGGAAGGTAAGAGCAGATTTATGAAGCGGTGGTAGTTTTAAGAAGATCTTTTAAACTTCTTTTAGTCAGTAAAAATAAAGTCAGGCTAAATGCTAACGACGAGTTGAAACACTTTAAATATTTAACTCGTAAGTTTAATGTTTGTGTGAAATGCTTTTGATTACAGGAGTTCACTAAAGTGTGTTTTATCCTGTGTTGGATTATTATGAGGGACAAAAAATTACTAAAGTATAAATAAATAAATAAATGTTGGTAGAACTGCATACAATAATGAATAAATAATTAAATAAATGCATCAATAAATATATAAATAAATAAATAAATGTTGGTAGAACTGCATACAATAATGAATAGATAAATAAATAATTAAATAAATGCATCAATAAATATATAAATGCTGAAAACAATATATCAATGAATAAATAATAAATACACTTTGTTTATAAAAAAAGCTATTTATATATTTTTACGTGCATTTATTTATTTATTAGCGTATTTCTACAGTTATATATGTATCAATGCATACATTTCCACATATTATTTCCGTATTTTTACATTTACACTTCTATTTATTTCTGTGTCCAGGTCGTAAGAGGAAAAGTATATATGTGTATTTCATTCTTTCTGTTTTTCAAAATTTACCAGTAATGTTAGGACGGCCCACTTAATTTACATATTTACTTTTCCTTGTACAACATGGACACAGAAATAAATAGATAAATATATGTATATATTTATTTATATATTAATTTTTATATGAATTGTTGCATTTATTTATATATATATATATATTTATTGATGCATTTATTTAATTATTTATTTATTTATACATTATTGTATGCATTTCTCCCAACATTTATTTATTAATTCATTTATTTATTCATTTATGCTTTAGTCATTTTTTGTCCCTCAGATTATTGTCTCTTACTGAATGATTTGTCCCTGTATTAATCATTCTTGCAACTTTGAAGTAGAGACGCACCGATTGGCAGAGTCATGGCCGATACCGATGGTTGAATTAATACCAATTTAGCCGATTGCCGATACCAATGTTTGTTTCATGAGGTAAAGGCCCTGAGACACCAAGCAGACGGCAAAGAACTAGTGGCGACGAAGGCCGACTGTGGCGTTGCCTCACGTCTTGGCCAAAAAGTTGCACTAGAACAAACCTCAAAAGACTACAGCCGACAAACGACCACCACGTAGGACGAAGGGAGGGCGACAGAGCCGGACACACCGCAAAAACTAGGAACGACAGCCGATGATCTGTTTGGTGTGAGAATCAACATAGTACTTAAAGAGTGTAGAACAGAAAACATAATCCAGCCATCCGATTACAAGCACGGTGAACGTATGGGTCACGTACATGCACTCTATGCACCCTGCAGCAGTAACAGTATAGAAACGCCACTCCCCCTTCCCATTGGCTCGAGCTGAATTCTCCGGAGAATATCCTGCTGCTGAAAAAATACGAGGAGGCTGGCAGGACAAACTCTGGGTGAAGTCTGAGCGAAAAATGCGGCTGATTGAGTTCACACATGTGGAACATGTGGATGTTTGAGCTTTAACAGGAGGAGTTCTGTGATGAATAATGGAAAGACATGTTCGGCTTGTTGGCTTGAAAAATTCAGATGTGATTCAGATATGCTCCTCCTGGAGTTTCTGCAAGTGTGGAAGCTGTTCTTCCTGCTGGCCACTTCAACTCTATAACGCAGCTTGCTATTATCTGTAAAAACTACAATACCCATGAACCTCAGCGGCTGATCTTCTGAAAAAGTTGTAATGCATCCTTATTTTGTTCCCTCCTTTTTTTTTACTTCTCACATCCTTTTTTTGTTCTCTAACAGTTTTCTCTCTTTTCTTTAAGTTACTCTCCTCCTTAGTTTACTTGTTTTGTTTCCTTGTCTCCTTCTTTCCTTTCCTAGACCTGCTGCTGAGGGCTCAGGCTGTGCAGACGGACAGCAACACGGGGGAGCTGGGCGTCAACACGGACCCGGACTGGGAGAGTCAGGTGGCGGCCATGTTGGAGTACAGCTCCACGCTGACGGAGCAGTACACCAGTCTGATGAAGAAGCAGGGCGAGGAGGAGCAGGCCAAGGCCAAGGAGAAACAGCAACTGCAGAAGAAGGAGGAGGAAGCAGTCCGCCAGCACCAGGTGAGTCCAACACACACACACGTGAAAACACAGATACACGTGACAGGTGTGTATTTAACCTTCAGACTGTTTTCAGGCTCTTCTGGACAAACTGGAGTCTCTGCGAGTGAAACTGCAGCTGAACAACTCGAAGGCCACCAGGAAGAACTTCTTAGCAAAGAAGCAGGAAATGACCTCGGAGAAGAACAGAGCAGAGGAGGAGAGGAACAGGTACAGACCAATAACACCCCGCAGGCATCCCCATGTCTCAGTAAGCGTTCCCGTTCGCTGTAATGGAGAACTTTAGAATCCCTTAAATGCACCTGAGGATGTACGAGCTTAAAGATAAGATACAAGGGAAATGTTGTGAGGAAACACAGGTGTGTCCGACCATAGTATGCAGGTTTAATAACACACACAGAGAAACTCCTGACGTAAGACGTGATGTGAGTTTAAAGTGTGAAGGGAATGATGACGATGTCTCCCTCTGGTCACTCCTCAGGCTGGACAAGGAGCTGAAAGAGAACGAGGAGAAGCTGAACACTCTGAAAAAGGAGCAGAGCGAGGAGCAGAGCAGGTGGCAGGAGGAGCTGGAGGAGCTGAGGCAGGAGATGGAGCAGGTG